AGGAGGAAAAAGAGTCCCTTGGGAGTTGGGTGCCATAGAAATGCGACAAAATAAAGAAAGAAAGAAAGAAAATAAAGAAAAAATATTTTCTTTATTTTAAAAAGTACTGGTGAAAATTATTGCTAGAATGATACATTCTATTTTAGTGAACATTTCTGGAAAAAGATCAGATTAAGAAAATGAGATTTGCAAGAGTGAAACACAGTATTTTGCATGGATAGAATTATATATTTTTGGTTCTTTAGAAATTTCTAGATGATATACAGGAGATAATCAAATATTTATAATTTCAATTAAACAAAAGGTTTAAGAAAGTTGTTCTCTTATAAATTGATTGATTGAATTTATATAGCCTCCCACTCACTTTCAGTGACTCTGAGGAGCTTACAAAAATAAAAACCCAATATACAAACAATTAAAAAAATACACCCCCCCACCTCCTTGGTGACAACAATCAACAAACAAACAAACCATCACTTGATGGGCTCCATCCCATTCTGGATTTCCCTGGCCCATTGGCAAAACCAGCTTTGCAGGTTTTTCATTCAGGTATGTGCAGTCAGATATTTTGCTGAAATAAAATTGATAAGTGAAATTAGATTTTTTGTGTGTGACAGGTTCATGAGGTTCTTTAAAAAATGCCTGAACTCAACATTTTTTCCTTGGAGAATTCAGTAGTCAGCAATAATTATACCGCTGATTCAGTGAGGTCCGTACAATGAACTGCTTGACTTTATAAGCACCAGCCCAGAAAATGTTTTATATAGTCATTGGTGGCAGCTTGTCTTGCAGTTTGGGGCAGAAAAATCAGCAATCCCTGTTCAGCACATATTTGTGCAAAAGTTGTAGTGAATGAGTTCCAAATTTAAATTTTATCTTCTTTACATTCAATAAACTAGAAAGATTAATTGGTCCTCTCTTCAGTGATAATAAAAATAAATCATAAATATTGTCTATACATGAAAACAATATATTTTCATAAAAATGAAAACACTGGTACTTCCAATACCATCCTGCCTTCTCTGTTACTCTGTTTGCCAAAATCAAGTGAGAAGACCCCAAATATTACAGAAAGAAAGGAAGAAGAAGAGACCTGGTGGCCAATATGGAATATGGACTATTATCCAGGCCTTAGCTGTATATATATAAGATATTCAAATAGGAATATAACCATGTCCTTCTGCATTTCAAATGTTATAGCATTGTTAACTTTTGTTCTGGGCCTCATGATTCATAACGAGGCAAACCACACAGAAATAGATTCACTCTTGCCAGTTATATAATATTTAACAAAAGGCTAGCTAGTAACAAAGAAAGGAAAGAACAACTCAGCATTTGGTTTAGTTCTAATTTTTTTTTTAACAAGGAAGCTATGAGTTCCAAAAACAGGATAAAAGGACAGGATTGAAGGTTGAGACTGATAAGAAATATGGAAAGGGAATATACATTTATTCTGAGTGATTTTAGTTTGCTGGGACCAGATACACAGCATTTTGAATTTGCTGATAATATAGCTAACACTTTTTCCACGTCAGATCAAAAATAGGAGAAAGGGGACAAGTGAATCAAATATTAGTACCTGGGAAATTTGTAGACCTAATCATAAAGAGATCAGTCTGTAAACTCCCTGAAAAGAATAATAACATAACTGCCAGAAGTCAGCATAGATTGGGCAAGAATAATCCTTCCAGATTGGCCTTTTTCAAAATCAGATAATTTCTTTAATAGCCTGTGGAAATTCTGTAGACACAATCTATACTAATTTCATATTCCATGATAATTTGATTGGAAGTGGATTAAGTCAGGCTTGCATGCTGTATTAATTATATGAATACATAAATATCTTGAAAATTGTAATGAAAAAAAGAAAAATTAAAAAAGAGGAAAGTTAAGTATAAGCTATACACTATTGTGTATCACAGATTATTTTTAAAAAATATTTATAGCTAATTGATTCCTTTAAGTACTTCAGGCTTATTATGAGTTAATAAGAAACCTCATAAAGCCGTTATATAAACTGATGTGAGCTTATTTAGTCCTTCAGTGCTGAATGATTCATATCAGTTTCCATACTTCCATTTAGGGATAAAAGTATATGTTTTTATATATGTTCTTATTTATGTACTTGTTTATTTAAAAACTACAATACTCCCAGCAATTTACAGTGGTTTATAATATAGCCAATAGAATATACAAAACCACATAAAATATTAAATTGATTAAACAACTGTACTCAATAGTTGTCTTTAATGGATCTAAGTCTATATGGAAGTTGGTAAGCAAGCACCTCAGGGTTTTGTCTGGTCTCTTCAGCATTTTCATAAATGACTTAAACAAGGCAGTAGAAAGGGTACCCACCAGATCCAAAGATGACATACAGCTGAATGAATTGATAAAGCTCAGAAGCCAGGCTGAAGGTTCAAAAGGAATCTTGGTAGATTTGAATATTGAGCCCTATCAATAATAAGTAATCCAATGGCAATAACTGTAATATCTTGGACTTAGGTAAGAAAAATCAGATGCACGACTACAAAATAAGTTATATTGGCTTCAGCAATTTGACTTGGAGAAGTATCTGGGCATCCTAGGAGGCTCAGCTTGCCGATCAAAAAGGTCGGTAGTTCGAATCCCTCGTATAGATCACCTGTCTGAACAGGGGGGTTGGACTAGATGACCTCCAAGGTCCCTTCCAACTCTGTTACTGTTACCAATGATGTATGAGCCAGCAATGTGCTGCAATTGCCAAAATAGCTCTGCATCCCAGACAATATCAAGAGAGGTATAAAGGGCAAGGAAAATGATAGTTCTATGCTATTGTGTCCAGTTCTGGTCATCATAGGCAAAAAGAATGCTAAGGAAATGGAAAATTTTTCAGGGAAAAGTGCAAAATTGAAATGTGTGATTACTAAAGTCTATGAATAACAATTAAAGGAACTTAGGATGCTTAAAAAGGGAAAGCTAATGGAGACATGATAGCAGTCTTCCAATACCAGAAGGATTATCATAGGGAAAGGCTATGGATTTATCCTTTATAGCCTCTGAAGGTAGGGTAAGTACTAATGGGTAGAAGTTCTGCTGGGGAAATTCCATACATAAAATACAAAGGAATTGCTTGATGACCATGTCTGAATTTGCTTCATTCAGTAATAACTCCTATATGTCTTTTTCTTTAAACTTCCTTCTGCCACCTGCCTGCTCCACCTTGCTCCATCTTCCTTTCACCATTATCTAAAGTCTAATCCAATCACATGGTTTTTTTCTGCAGCCATCCTGCAGCCATCCAATTTTAATCATCTTTGCCAGTCCTCCTTCTTGTCTTCTTCCTATATTTATTCTTGCCTCCCTTCTTTTCTTATTTGACCTCTACAATCATTCAGTTTCCAGCTGTAGCCTATATTCCAGTCATCTGTTCCAAGTCCATATACCTCAAGGACCAACTGTGTAACATCTACAGTTAATCATCATCCTTTAAAAACTTCTGCCCTGCGGTCTTCTTTCTAAAATGTGGGTATTTCCCATCAAAACTGAGTTCCTACTGTTTTTCATCAGGCTGAATTGTGCTATGACAAGCATTAAAATAAGACTGTAACAGTGACACCGAACAGATGTGTCTTTGGTTCCAAACTATTACACCTGAAAATAATAAATTGCTTGCTTAAAATAGTTAAATATCTTTCTAACAACAATTCCTGCACATAATAGAGGATATTGATTAGTTAGATGTAGTGCTTTGCCCTCTGCAATGATCTACCAAAAATACAAGAAAATGTTATACAATGCAAATTCTGTGGTTTTAAAGTTTGTGTGTTAGCTTATTTGTTCTTTGCTAATTGCCCCACTTTTTAATGTTTTTAGTGTCTAATATAGCACTCACTTTCTTTTAACTTTTCAAACTAGAAGTTGAATTATTCATAAAAGTAGCTGAATTTTGTGAGGATATCAGAGATAAAACACTGATCCTCAGATTTAAAGTTCAAATAGTTTAATTTTGAGAGATATTTTTATTTTATTATTATAAATTTATAGTACTACATGATTTTGCACTTTAGTATATTTATGCTTTTATGTTCATTTTATATTTATTGTATTTTATATTTCTGTTTTTCTGTGTTATGGCCCAAAACCAAAACAAATAAACAAGGCCTTGTCTAAGAAGCAGACAAGAAAAACAAATCCACATTCTGTAAATGTGATAGAATCATATAATTGTAATACCTAAACTACTATACAAATCTGCAAGACTTCTGCTTTAAAGATAATCATAAATCAAAGTTAAAGAACAACTTCTCAAAGAACGAATTGGTTAACAGAACACTATGAAAACTCCCCACAATGTTTTCTCTCTTTTAAACATGTGCTCAATACTTCGTTTTTCATATGAGCAGGGGTCCCCAACCCTCAGGCCATGGCCCATTACTGGGCCGCAGCCTGTTCAGAACTGGGACACAAAAAGCATCAGGCAAGTGCACATGTATGCACAGCTCCCCTGACACGAGGAATGGAGCTATGTGGATGCCCGAACCATCCCCTCTTCCCCCCATGCCAGGTCCAACACCCCCAAGATTGGGGACTGCTGAGCTAGGGCAAGGTTCAGAAATATGGGAATCCCTGCCTCCAATGTTATTTTATAAAATCTTTCATAGTGTTGTAATCTGCCTGTGATGCTAACTTGCAAACTATGACTATCAAACCACGATGGCTGAGTAAACACATCATGCAAAATTAAAACCCAACAAACCACATTATAGACTGATGCAACATGCAAATGAAATTACATCCAAAACATCTTAGAGGAAGAACAAAATTTCAAATGCAGAACTTCCTAAGTTTACCTTTGGTATCTCCAAGACTTGGGAAGAGTGCTATCTGAAGCCTTTGAGCGTTACGGTGGTGAACAGAGATTGTATTGAGCTATATAGACTAATAGTCTAATTTAGTATATTAAGCTTCCCATAAACATTTATTTGGGGTTGTTTTTATTATTTGCTTTCTTCCTCTAGGAGGATCTCAAACAGAAAATGAAAAAGATGGCCAAATTGACAGAATCAATGAGTGAGTACATACAGGAAGATCAATTCTTGATTTTGCTACAGTGGTTATATTTAGGGGAAAAATACTCTCCTGGAGATAAATTCACCTAAATAATACTTTTCTCCCATTCTATGAGATGCCTCTCCTCACAAAAGGTGGCATCTTTTGTTACATGGTTACATAGATGCCATGAATAATTTCAAAACCATAAATAGGGAGTCACATCTCATAACTTAAGATGAATATAAGCCGATCATGGCCAGTCAAGGTTCATAGCCTCCTGTCACATATTGAGTTGTGAGATGTGAAAGAATTGCCGACTAGCCATTGCTTTTAAAAGTGAATGGTATAATGTTTCTTTTTATATGACTAAAGAACCCAATAAGAAATTACTATTACAGGATGCGGCTTAATGTAATTAAAAAGCAATTTAAAAACAAATGCAATTTGATAATTGCATAATAGTAGTCGCTGGCTAGCATCCATATCAGTAAACTCTGTTTTAAAGATAAGGGCAAATAGGGATTTAGAGAAACTGATCCCAAAGGTAAAATTTAACCATATTCCTTTTTGAAAGGCAAGAACCTTTAAATCCTTTAAATCAGTGAAGTTGCACATAGCTTAATACAGTTTCACTCTTGCAGAAATGCTACTTAGATTATGGAATTTGGGACATAATTCAGGTGAAACATTAGCATTTGTGTGACTAGAGATATGCTCTTTTTTTGGCTTTTAGCATAATAAGGGGCAAGCTACTAACTTCTCAGTACAAATTGTGTACTTCTAGAAATAATGACATTCCTTACAAAAAAAATCATATACATTCCATTCAAGTTTTTTCACAGAGGCTAAAAAGAGAGGTGAATGTCTTCATATTTTAGCAGTTTTTCCCAATACCCACAAAGAAAGTAAACCATTGCTTTCACTCTTAATCGACTTAGATGGTCAGCAAAACACCAAATGTGGTTGATGAAATTCATTCGTAAAGACAGGAAATGTTAACTTCATTCTTCAGTGTTCAGATGTGTTTGGTTACATAACTTGACATTATTATGATGACAACCTTGGCCTTTGGCCCATTGATAACAAGAAGTTAATGATTTTGGAGGAGGGGGAACTGACCAGGTATCCAAAGAGCAGGAATTTCATCATTTCATCAGTGTGCTTCTGGTTGCTAGCTTTTAAAAATGTACCATCTAAGAACTTAGCTTTGGGTTTTGCATGATCCAAACACAAAACTATGAATTCGTTTTTGCATTTCACTGGTACCTTCGGGCTTTCAGCTTCACCTTGTGTTATTTCCAGCATGGGGTTGGTTGGGGACCTGAGGCTGCTTCTTCTGCTTTTAACTCATTTTTTATTCTGCTTCTGCTTCTGCTTTTAACTTCTGTTTTTCATTCTGTTTTAATTGCACATTTAGTTGAATCTCTTTTATATGGTTTTATAGCTATATTTGTAAACTGCCAAGAGTCTCAAGATGGACTGTGTCTATATCTGTTAAATAATTAAAAAGATCTGGTGTTAAATTTTAAAGCCCTTCTTGGCATGGGAGTGGGTTGAAGGACCACCTTTCTCCAATTTCATTTGTCCAGATCCAGCAGGGAAGGCTTGTTACAAATTCTGTTGCCTAGCGAGCTACATTTGGTGGGCTCTAGGCAGCAGGCCTTTTCTACTGTGGCATTCATGCGAATGAATCTTCTCCCCTATGAGTTGGGATTGGTCTTGTCACTGTTGAGCTTCCGGAGGTCAGGGGATCCCCGGGGACGGATGAACTAGCATAGAGATTCCACTACTTTTAACATCCCTTCATCAATTATTCATTGTTTTAGTTTGGTTTTCATATTTTAATGCATTTATTAGCAGCTTATAGTTCTATTTTATACCATTGCTTGTGAGATGGGCAGATGATGATTGATGATAGATGATAGATGATAGATGATAGATGATAGATGATAGATGATAGATGATAGATGATAGATGATAGATGATAGATGATAGATGATAGATGGATAGAGATAGAGATAGAGATAAAGTTAGAGATAGAGATAGAGATAGATAGGTAGATAGATAGATAGATAGATAGATAGATAGATAGATAGATAGATAGAGATAGATAGATAGATAGATTGATAGAGAGATAGGCGACAGAGACAGTCAGACAGACAAGTCAAAAAATTAAATGAATCTGTTCTTAGCTACACGATTAGTAGTATTAGCTAGGCAATCATAAAGAAAACAATTGAAAACCGTACTTCATCACCAAGAGGAATATAAAATGCATGTAATTGATGTATCTAAATATCTGTCTCAGGATTCAACGTGATATCATATTATATCTTGGAAATGTCATGAGCATACAACCCCTTGATAATACATTGCTTTCATTTATATGGAATTGAGTGTCACATCTATTCTGGTTTATGGTCTTCTCCAGAGCCAGACATTGCATCAAGCTAGTATTTGCTCTTGGGAAGTTCTAGGATGTCATCTTGTCAAGTGTCACAAAGGACTTACTCATTTTGCAATAGAACATGGATGGGGTAATTATTTTCCAATTAATTTTTCTTAAAACAAATCATTTCCTGTTCAGAAAGCTAGAATGGCTCTTACATTATTTAGAGCAATACTTTAATTAGGTCTTGTTAGTGAACCTACATAATCAAGTGATTATTTAAGCAATTAACTGCAGTATGTGTAATTTTAATATATCCTGATATTTACAATTTCAGAATAAAATAAAAAACTGCTGTAGCGCTATGAAATTAATCTGCCATTCTTTCAAATAGCGTTTTGATTCTTTTTTTCTGCTGGTGTCTTTGCTCTAAACTCAGGACAATTTTCAGCCATATATAATAACCAAATTGTTTCACCCACCTTGCAGTGTACCTAAATGTGAAGTAGTTTAACCCCTAGGACAGTACAAAGATAGTCATCTTTCATTCTCACTTCTCCCCCAAAAGTAATCTATATAAAAATTTAGCATCATTCCCACTGAGTCTGTTAGGTTTAAGGAATTTTAGTAAGGTATCTTTAATATAGTACCTTGAAAACTGTAATAGGATTCTCCTAGGCTCATTTATAGTGAGTTACTTATGGTAACTCCAAGAGTTACCAAATGGGCTCCAAGATCACCTGCAGCCAAGAAATTAAAATACGTTTGCTCCTGGGGAGGAAAGCTATGGCAAATCTAGATAGCTTACTAAAAAGCAGAGGCATCACCCTGCCAACAACAGTGTGTATAGTCAAGGCTATGTTTTTCCCAGTTGCAATGTATGACTGTAAAAGTTGGACCATAAGAAAGGCTGAGTGCCAAAGAATTGAGGCCTTTGAACTATGGTGCTGGAGAAGACTCCTGCAAGTCCCTTGGACTGCAAGGCAATCAAACCGGTCAGTCTTAGAGGAGATCAACCCTGAGTGCTCTTTAGAAGGCCAGATCCTGAAGATGAAACTCAAATACTTTAGCCACCAAAGAGAAGGAAGGACTCACTGGAGAAGAACCTAATGCTGGGAATGATTGAGGGCAAAAGAAGAATGGGACAATAGAGAACGAGGTGGCTGGATGGAGTCACTGAAGCAATTGGCGTGAGCTTAAATAAACTCCAGAGGATGGTAGAGGACAGGAAGGCCTGGAGGAATGTTGTCCATGGGGTCGCGATGGGTCAGACACAACTTTACAACTAACAGCAACAACAACAACTTATGGTAAAGCCTCTGAGTGATTTGAAACACTTTTTCTCAGATTTCTCCCCACTTGGGCTTAATTTCCCTTTAAGATAAAAGCTATCAACTGACCGAACCACTGTTTCTTGATTATTTATGTCTGTGTTGTCTTCCATCCTTTTCCTGGCTTTCCCACAATCTCTTATTGGATCCTTCTGCTGGATGCTTGGAAGACCATAAAAGACAGTCTTTCCAACTCTTAAAATACAGAAGAAGAAGAAAAAAGATGGAGCAGAGAGGAAAAGAAAGACAATTTTTATTGTTTCTTTTAAGAAAAGTTTAGTTTAGTTACTGCCCCAGATTATTAATTTTTAAAAACTCCCCTTTCTCTTTTTCCAGTAGCCCTTGTCTTTTCCACAGAATTATTAGAAAAGTATCTGCTGAATGTTTTCACACAGTTAACTATGAACTTTTTTTGCTTCATAGGAATTCAAAAGAGATTCTTCAGAACATGGCATTATTTCTCAACCTGAGCAACCTTAAGACGTGTGTGTTTAAACTCCCAGAATTCTCCAGTCAGCCATGTTGAAGTACACACATATTAAAGCTGCTGAGGTTGAAAACACTGGAGCCTGGTATGTTCACTGAAGTTCTTATAGCAGAGTATACCATCTAGCTCAATCACATATGAATTGTAGAATGACATTTAAAAACAATTCACGCATGAGAATTAATATTCCTTTCTTCTCTTTGGGTTTTGCTTCTCTTCCTGCTGTAACTCATCTCACTTCTCATGGAGCTCTTCTTCTTCTAGACAGAACTATTCCCCATAGTAGTGAACCTGAGGATGAAAACAATGGTATTGACTGGAAAGGGAGCAGGAGATTTTAGCATCACTTACTTGTGAATGGAGATCATTTAAAGCTAGCAGCTATGCATTTCTTTTTCCTTGTTCAAAAATGTGAAAAGAACTGATTTTAGACCAGCTTGTACCAGTTCACATTCCTAAATGAAATATGAACCCCTGAAGGTACAAATGGAAGTACTTCTACAAAGCAATCTCTGAAATACTTCCACAGAATTTTGAAGCCATCTGTCATTCTTGCCATTCTCTTAAAGCTGAGAACAGTCAGAGAACATCAAGAGCCAATTGATGGTCCTTTTGGTCAACATAAAAATGCAAAAATTGTCGTTCAGTTATTGCCTGATCCTCTGAATTTTGACAACTTTGTAAACCAAACGAAGGACCTCATTTTTGTTCCATACAGAGAAAGAACAGTGCTAGTCTGCACCCCTGCCCCCACCAACAGAAAGACATGTTCAGTATATTTTGTGTGCATTTATGTTGAAAAAATGCTGGA